AGAGAGAGAGAGAGAGAGAGAGAGAGAGAGAGAGAGAGAGAGGGAGAGAGAGAGAGTTCTTTAAAAGGAGACACTAATAGACCATACTCGTATTCTTGATTTTTGACTGGAACTAGCTTGCAATAGAGGCTCAGGCGGGGGAATGTCATTAAAAGGAGATTAATTTCGTTTGTGTTTGAAAAATCTCTCTCCATTAGCCTCAGTTGCAAGCTAGTTCCAGTCCAATACCGAGAATGCGAATATGGTCTATTAAACCTCTACCTCTGCTCGTACATTATAATCAAGACCTTGGTCTATAACACATACTATTATCGCCAATCACTTCTATTTGTAGGTCTCCTAGCCTTTTCTGTTTGTAAAGTGCTTCATATATGCCAAAAAAATTCTCCATTCTGCTGCCTCCGTTGTAAGAAGCGTCGATGAAGACGATAGTTTCACTGCTGCGATTGCTGAGAAAAGAGAAATAAAGTTACATTTAACATCTTTCGTCATGAGGTTCTAAAACACCTGGTCTTGAGAAGGTTTCCAAACTTATCGTTATCATTTATTGATCACACATAAGGTTCACCTTTAACTTCAACACAAACTGTCATGAGTAAACGAAGCGGAAAGGGTTAGGCCATGTTGCATTCAATGGGACATTTTGGCAAACTGACAGATCTTACAAAAGCAAGACTACCACGAAGACGTTTTAATACGATGATAAATTGTTGGTACAGTTGTTCACAATCACGCGTTTAAATATTACGTTTTAAAAAATACAATAACATTTGAAAGTGACATTTGTAATCTCAAAAGAATTGCTATTGTTGACGATGCCCACTCCAATAAAACTACCTGAATTGTAAACTTGATATATTCTTGTAAGATGATTCATTTTGATGAATAACTCTAACCTGTAGATAAGCAGAATAAACGTTGTTTCACTTTTATTCATACCTTAATTGTTTGGAATATTTTGTGAGCTAAGTAGAACTGCTTTGATATCTACATTTAGATAAAGGTTATTTCAAAAAGAACGCTTTACAAGTTCTTTTCTGTCATGTCATATTGCATAGAATCAATGAAATAACACAACGACTTGGAGTTTCACAAGGTTTGAGATTTAGAAGATTTAGATTTAGAAGTGAATATATAACATAAACTATAACATTTGAACTGCAATTCCAAAAGTTTGATTTTAACATATTTATTTGGAATTTACACTTCAAACTTCTCTGTGGAAATCTCCTTTAATCTCTGTTGTAATAAAGAGTGAATGCTTCTCTTACGAAAAATCTTTATCCTAACGAAGTATAAGGAAAGATCTCTAAATAGTGTAAATAGTGTAAGTAATATTCTATATCAAATTTTGTAAGTAATATAACCAATTAATAATTTGTAAAGTCAGCAATTTGTGCAATTGTTACTATTAAAAGTACAGTAGTTTCTTTTTTATTGCAGTTGTTATGTGCTCGAGTTAATTGTTTGATAGCAGTGGACAATCCTCCCGTTGGTAGTGATAATGTTCATAAAGAATTTATTTTGTAAGTAGTGCTTTGCAAGTACGTTTGGAATGTTTTTCCTTTAGTGTAAGTATTTTTTTTCTTTTTTCGTAACCGATTTGTGTTTAATAAATTTCATTATTATTTTAAAAGTATATTTGAATTGCAGGTGAGTGATTTAGAATGAGGCTCTATTTTCTTAACTCATAGATTGCGTACATTCGAGGAGTAGTTACTTGCTAAGATTACTTTGGTTAAACGAGGCTAAAAAGTACAGTTATGACGATTAAATCGTTGTTACTTACGCTGTTTCTTATCAAAGATGACAAATTCGTGAAAACTGCACTGCTGCTATTCTCAAACTGAGCATCCCACGTCACGTTAGGAAGTAAAACGTCTAATTTGATAATGATGTCCGCTGACGCTGAAAATTGGAACAAAGAATGAAACCCACGAAATAAATATAATCAGTTTTCAAGTAAAAAATGTGTCAATACAAAACTTCTTTTCGATATGCATAGGTATATAGTATTCATCTTCAGAGTATACTGAGAGAATACTTTGAGTGGGAAACTGGGGAAAGACGATACTATACTCTACTACATTTTTAATTCGTAGATCTTTAGTGGCAAGAGACTTATGATGTTGCACACGAAAACGAAATGCTGCGGGTGAACTTACAGTCATCTAAACGTTTTTGCAACACAGTGAAATCACGAGCCAGGTTAGCTGATTCACATGCTGGTGAAAAACGTACTGTTTGTTTATTTTTTTAAGTTAACATTGGCAAGTTATGGCGACGAGGTATTTTAAAATATGTAAACTTCCATACCAAACCTTAGGCTCGTAAAGAAGGTCTATAAAAGGCAGGTAACAGAAGGAAGACATGAGACAAACGAACGAACGAACGAGGCAACTCCAAATTAGGTGTAAATGAAATTGTGAACTCTCCGTTTGGAATTCATTTAATGCTAGGTATAAGAGTATTTCAGTAACCTCTTACAGACCTTCGAAAACCACCCTTCTTTTCTAAATAGTATTGATAATAAACATTACCTCGATATGGAGTTGTTACATTGAGAACTTGCGAGGAGAAACCAAATCCTTTTGACGTAACAGGTACGGCCCAAATGGTATATGTGGTATTAGGTCGCAGTTGTGAGATATTAGCTTCTTCGTGGTGTTTATCGACTAGGATGCTGTGTGTTTTGTTGTCATTTGCCTGGTAGTTGACTTTAAGTCCCCACGTGTTTACGATTTGTTGGGTTTCCCCAGGGGACCATGACAATTGAAGAGTTGTTGGGTTAATAATGGTTACGTTCATATTTTCTGGTGGTTTTCCTGGGACTAGAGAGGCAAAAAAGTCAGTCAGTTATAACGTTGAAATAAAAGACACGAACTGAGTTGCACATAAACTTACAAGCAATAAAACATCAACCCTTGTTGTACAGTCAAAACCATTTAACGACTAATGACATGTTTTTTCAAGACTATAGCAAAGTAGAAATTAATACACAGAAGAAGACGAATAAAAGCCAGTTAATTACAATATTTTGATCCTTACTTAAGCCAACGCCCAGTGTTTTAATGTAGTACACATTTTCGAGATAATTCATGCAAAGATGAAGAAGAAATCAAAGGTCAGCAATTTAAACATACTTATTATAACTCCCTAGGGAAACAACAACTTGAATTTTCTACTCGCACATCAACAGGTCGTGCACATTGAAACCACAGCAAATTTGTGTGCAAATTTGCGTCAAGCAAATAATTTTTTCGCGGTTTGTTCCATTTTTGAGTTGGGGGGCATAACAAAACACTTAATGACTGGTCTCACGGGGGGGTCTCGGGGAAACAAAACTCACTGTTTCCCTTAGGGCCAGTCATTAAGTGATTAAAAACTATACCAGGCCCAGTTACTTTTTTCGTACAGGATTTAATTTTCGCGCGATGTCGAGAAGCCTTTAGACATACAGGACCCTCCAAATAACAGGATCCATTTTGCCATTTACTTACAACTTTTTTTATTTTTAAATTTAGTTAAATATGGTTTCTTTTGGTCCATTGTTTATTCACGGTTCAAAATGTTTTTTTATCCCACATATGATAATTCAGGGAGCTTTTCTGGACTTTTATTTGAGCAAATGCGTGACAGACGGAGTAACAGGGCAAGAATGTAAACTTTATCAAGTCAGTACTTACTCGTATCATTAATGACGTCGATTGGAAGCAAACCTAAATGCCGAGTTTCGTAAAGGGAACTGTAAAAATTGTCTATATGACGCATGTGGAACTCCTGAGAAAAGGTCAGACTAAATTCTATAGCAACCAGGCTGCTGGTATTCCTATCCAAAATACAAACCAAACCAAAGTAAAATAACAACAAAGTTAGTACAATACGAACAAACCTAGCCATTAGTTTACTTGTTTATCTTAACAGATTGTTGGTGTTAACAGTTAACTTTACACGAAGAGAGAACAACGAGACAGTTTATTCCCGGCACAATTCTTTGGTGAATCATTCTAAACTATTTTTGTGAATACACCTCTTTAGCTTGGGCGGTTTGTTTTCCCTTAGCAGACCGCATGATGATGCTCTTGAGAATTCTTGCTTTCAAATTTTAAAATAGTCGCATGTATATGAATGAATAATTTTAAGATGGATAAAGGAAAACTTCCCTAGAAAATATCACGTGGTCTACGATGGGAAAACAACCGCCCAAACTTAAGAGGTCTATTGCATAACGTGAAGGAAAGTGGTCAGGTCCATAAGCGAGGAACAAAATCCCTCATTTTTTGTCAGGGAATTTTTAATGTTCATCCTTAAAAAACGTGTGATTCACAAAACGATTCACGGTGACAGAAGTATATCCGAGAAAGATAGCGTCTCGTTAATGCCGATTTTTTTGAAAAAAAGTTGAAATAAGTAACTATGTTACCTTAGTTGAAGTATTGTCACTTCAAGAAGAGATGCATTGTTATAGAAAGTTCGAAAAACCTGTAAGATAAACGATACAGTTAGGAAAGGAAAATATTTCTAAGATCAAGAAAACACTGAACAGAAACAACTTACGTTTTGTTTTATACGGGAAGAAATGTTCATAAACTTGTGGCTGCTTGTGTTAATTAAACTAACTTTCCAGGACTCATTTGTAAGAAGTATCGTGGCTTGAATACTGAGGTTATGGCTTCCTGAAATAAAAGATCAAGACAATGATAAAACAGGTAAATCATGTTGTTTGGAATATGAAAAAATCTGACATATGTAATGAGTTACTCCAAACATTTTTATACAAACCCGATGAGTCCTTGCTAGATACAGAAGAGTTTTGAATGGTTCTTAATGACTGGATGAAAGTAGGCGTCACAGACGATGAAGAGGAGATTGTTGCACATGGAAATGTTTCATTTGCTCCTGGAATAGAAGAAAAAAAGTACAAACAAGAAGGAACTATTTCGACGCAGCAAAGCCGAAAAGATTACAGCACACATTGTAGGATAGTCGATCATCCCATTGCTTGCTAGTCTTTTGAAGTTCTAAATGCCTAAAAATAGAATAACCACTTTAAATTTCTTTATTATAAAAAAACCTTGTCAACATCAACTACAAGCTATACTGATCATTCAGTTTTATAACTTATCCATAAAGCTCTCTCTCTCTTTGGTTCTTAAATCATTATTTAATTTGAGCGGTCTATGCTTTTAATTCAAAATCATAAAATTTTAACTATCAACTATCAACTTTAAGCGGGCCCTGTCCGCACTACGCCAGAGGAAATTGAGAACGGAGATTTCACTCTGAAAATGCATCAAAACGGGCAGGGAAATCCCATCATTACCTAACATCATCGTTTTTGAAAAGCTCCGTTTTCAATATGTTTTTCTTCCACATAAAAACGTAAATCCAGCGTTTTCAAATTCCACCCGGCGGTTCGAAGAGCGTTTTCGAAAAGCTATGTTGTTGTGACGGATTAGTGTGGACGGTAGGCCTAACCGTAGAAATAAAGCTGCATTTTTAAATTCTTCCGGCGTAGTGTGGAGGCTGCCTGAGACAAGCCGAGTACTGCTAATCCTGGATTTCCAATTAGCAGTAGAAAGATAACCGGCTCTGGACGTATGGACATTACTCTTGTAGGATTGTGTCATGCATAGGGAAGGTGAAAATGGTATATAAAATGCCTGAGTAAATTAACAGCGGATTTTGTTTGGAGAAAGAGAGGGAAAGTTGATATAATGTACTACTCTTACTATTTGGCGCCGGTAAAGAATACATTGTGTTTGGCATTCTAAAAACACATGTCTTAATTGCGTTTTCTTAACTCCTGTCACCAACTGACACAGATTCAATGATTTAAACAAACGAACCTTCTAGTTGGTAAAAATGTCTTGATTTATCAGGTAGCAGCTTGTGATCTTCACACGAAATATCCATTAAAAAGCAATCACTTGTGGCTGTCACGTATTCAAAGGAACTGCAGTTGAACATATTTCCTTCTGCGACTTGGAGACACAAGTGAGCGCATTCACTTACAGACAACTGCTGAAAAGATATCTTGCCAGCACCAGGCAGACGATGGTGTTTATAAGGTAAAAACTCAGCTAGCGGGTCGTCACCACCAGAAGGCGTTGAAGACTGATCTGAGTAAAGTAAAACATTTTAGCATTTATTGACCAGTGTCTTTCTGTACACATGAATTCTTATATGACCTTAGTACGGTTTGACTTGGCCAGTGCATTTTCAAGTGTTGATCTATCAGTTATGACACGAGGCCATTTGCGAATGCAAATTTTGCTTTAGATCAAAGCCGAGTGGTGACGAATTTCCTTATCATTAATTCGCATAGACACAGAAAGCATAGTCTAAGAAATACTTGTCTCGCACCAGCTTCATTTGAAGAATTCCTGCGGTTATCAAATTGGTTATAACTCGGTTTTTCCAAGTAACTTAGTTAAAAATAGTTGCTCTCGATAACGAGAAAGCTTTCATCGTGGTTTGATATCAGAATGTTGCATTTTTAAATTATTTTTTGCTGTTTTATCAGTTAAAAAAAAGGCTCTGATGTCTTATTTTCAATCGCTAGGAAGTTTAAGGAAAATGGTTTTAGAAGGAAATTAAAGTCAGGTTTTTTCCCGTACGATGACCTATTACCCGTTTATCACTAAACAAAGATTTCATTCCCGCATTTACAAATAAATGTTCCTTGTTTTGACATACTTTCAAGGAAAAGTACATGTAAGTATTTATTCGTACAAGACATGATTTTTCCCACACTTTTTTCTGCGGTAGATTCCTCATCCTAGCTGTGAATGGATTTGCATTTCATATTTCTTGTGTGGTATTGTTCCAGCTATTTCGCCTAAATGAACGGAGTGCTGAAGGAGGATTAGCTGGGAACATCAATGTTGCTGATTTCCTTGATTTATTTTAGACATGTTTTTGTTAAAGCGTTTATTGGTTGAACAGAACGAAAGGAAATTTGTTATTGCTGACAATCAAATGTATGATGAGATGACATGTCTAAATTTAATTCTAATCAAACTTCCCCTGGCTGACGTTTGTAACTTCACGGCAAATTAGTGGTTTGTTTGAACAAGAACGTTTTTGCTTTTCACTCCTCTGAGAACTATAAAAGTTTTTTTTTTTTTTAACCAGTTTCTCAGGCTGTGTTAACCGAGGTTGACGCCTAATTTAAACACCGACTATATTTCCTTTTAATACAACATTTCCTTTAATTTACTTTAAAACAAAGTTAAAGTATGGTAATGGAGTTATTTGGATATGGATTTAAGTCGCGGTTTCAGTGGTTCACACAGGAATCACGGAATCAATAAAAATACCTAATGATTGCATGTAAATCAGCCAACAAACAGGTACCAAGCGGTAACAATGACAATTGCATTCATTTTAAAGCGTTTAAACCCCAAGCTTTTTGGCAGCAGGCAAGCATTTGGCGTGACTCAGGCTGTGTTTAAGTAAACAAGAAACAGAGAAAAATGGGTGATTCTTATCTGAAAAGTCATAATTTATGGACAATACGAAGCATTTTTTTTTCTTTTTTTTAACATAAAATTATATTAAGAATAACACAATCCAATTTTATAAATAAACTTTCATTACACTTTCCAAACAAAGGTTCTTATTTTTATTTTAAATAAACATTATTTAGATGCGATATGTTTACCCGAGTTGCCATATTTATTTTGTATCTTCAAAAATATTATTTATCCATTTTTGCGGGATTCAGGCTCTGTCGACGAGACGTTTTAATTAACAGGGTTGCATAAATTTAGTTTTCAAGAAGAAGATTTTTGACCTGAGATTTTGACAACATTTAAGCAATACATACATTTCAAAGCATTATAAACTGTCGAAAATGCACTTCTAGCGAGATGTTATGTCCTCCTAGAATGCCAAAGATAAAATCAAAATCTCTGGAAGAAATTTTGTATCGATTTTCGAATTCAATGTCTCCATTACAATATTGCAATAAATATTGCATGTACCTGCGAGGCTCGGGCAAAAGACCCGACTGGCAAATACATACAACAAAATCTGAATTCTTGTAGTTTGTCTTTCTTCATCGATTGATAGATATATTTGAATGGCATTAGCTATTTGTTTCTTCATTTTGAGATAATTCCTTTATTTCGCCAATAAACCTAGTAGTGTGTGGTTGGAACTTAACGACCGTTTAAAAATGATACAACCTCACAATGATGCTAAATAAGGAATACTTCCAGCAGTTTAAAGAGAACAATTCTGAACTTGAATGACGCCAGAAAAATCAACTGGCGATTAAAAAAATTGTCTTAAATAACGTAATTTACCTTCACAGAGTAAGGACTTTTGCTCTCGGACCAAACTTAAACACAAGGCCAGACATAAAACCTGTCATTAAGAAAAACAACATCATGATTATATATTTTTTCACCTTAGCTGTGATAAGCCGTGAAAGCTTAATTCCCAATAAACTATTCACGAACCTGTTTCACTGTTTCGCGGATGGACATTTCTAGAGTTTACTTGCTCATACTAAGGTCATTTTGAATAGAGACTAACGTTCACATGAATCTACAAGATTCTGCCGCTTGGCAGTCGAACGCACCAGTCAGTCGCACGAGTTGTACTGTGGCTTAAGAGGTTCCCAGAGGAAACACTCTCATTTATGCAACTCAATTAAATATTTACAATAATCTCGAGTGTGAATTTGTCAGCAGTTGCGCATATTGTGTGAGATCCCGGCCAGCACAGTTGCACACTCTTAAGGGACATGCTATTCAGAAAAAGCTCATTAATTTTTTGAGAATAATAAATGCCGTCGCAACTTACAGAGAAAGGCCTTTATTCACACCAAGAGTTGCATGTCCATACTGTTAGAAAATTAAACTAGCAACAGAAACTGTCACCTGTTATCTACATCAGTACCATTGTTTATACCGGAAAAGTAGTCTCTGGAGGATTCATAGATATATTGTCCATTCTAAGGAAATACGAAGTAAATGAAAATATTAATATTTTAATAACGTCTAAACTCGCGCACGATTAGAATATAATGACATGCCAAAGTAGTCCTTAACACCCCTAAAGCGCGATCTAGAATTAAGCGGGAAAATATCCTAGGCTTGAA